CTCCCCGTCCCGCTCCCCGTCCTGCCGCCGCCTTTCCCCCCGCGGCCGCGCCGGAGCCGGCCGGAAAAGTTTTCCCGGGGGGCCGTCTTACCGTTTTTCCTCCGGGGGTTGGCTTGTTTTCGCCTCTTACACCTGGGGCCATCCGCCATGATCTGCTGCTTCATTGATAAGAGTGGATCAGATGGCAGTTCGCATGGGCTCGACTCCCTGATTCAGCAGCAGCAGCGGCGGCGGCAGCAGCAGCAGCACGCAGGCTCTATGTAACGACCAAACACAGCGACAATGTGGGCATCGGGATGTCCCATTTAAACGCAGGGCGCCAACGGGGACCCCAGTTTGCACCCGAAAAAGAACCCATCCACGCACACGGCGAGGCTGGCCGTGCCGGGGGAGGTGGGACGCGGTCGGAGCGGGCTCCCCCTCTCTCCCCAGCCGGGCAGATTTCTTCTTTATTTATTTATATATTTATTTATTTATTTATTTCTGCTCCCTCTCTCTCTCTCTCTCTCCCTCTCTCTCTCTGTGTGTCTCTGTGTGTGTGTGTGTGTGTGTGTGTGAGCGCGTGTGCGTGTGTCTCCCTCCCTGCGTGTGTGTGTGTTGCACCAGCAAAGCAGATCAGAGAGAGAGAGAGAGAGAGAGAGAGACAAGAATTACATCTCAAATGAGTCATAACTCATGACCGTATGAGGGAATGCACAGCTTTTACAGTAGGCTGTTTGACTCAATGCTAGGCGGACCATTTCCTCCTAAAAGTACTTTAATTTGACACTAGAACTTCTTTTCACTCGATATCCTACCCTTCTCCTGCCTTCATTTTTATTTCCCCCCAAAGTACACTCCAGCAAAGTGATAAGAGGAGAGGGAAACATGGCTCTCCCCTGTCCTTTTGGGGTAAAGATCAGCACGGATACCTCCCCCTCCCCCTAACAACGAGGAGTGTAATTATAAACCTCTGTCACCTTTTTAGTCAGTTTGACAATATTCAGGGTTTCCCCTGCCCCTTAGTTAAACAAAGCTTCAGAGTGTCAATTTTTTTTTTTCCTTCCCAGAAAAGAAACAGAAATCAAAACTACCGCTGTCAAGAGTTTTCAGCCTTTCAGATGGGTTTTGTTTTTTTTTGTTTTTAAGGAAAAAAAAAAAGAAATAAAAGCAACTTGTAAACTTTTAGACCTACTGTGTGTGCCTGTGTGCCCGGGCTGGGCTGGAGGCTCTATCTGTCAAAGGGAGAGAGGGGCAGGAGCGTTTGGTTTGCTGCAAGAACGCTCCTGAAACTCAGTCCATCTCGAGGAAGATGCTGTAGCTTTAAAGATGCTTTGACTTGAGGATTAGTTTAAACAGGGGGCTATAAAAGATGTAACAGATGCAAACTGTAAAACAAGGGCAATTAACCCTTGCTCTCCTGAGCAGGATGCCCCCTCGCCTTCGCATCTATTGTCTTCTCCTGCACTGGGAGTTTTACATAAAACCTAAAAAATTATTACCTGACTTAACAATTTCAACATATATATACATACATTTTAAACAGAATGAGATTTTTTTTTCCCCCTGCCTTTTCCTCTTTCCCCTCCCTTGTGTCTTTTTACTTTGCTGGAGCTTCACACCAGGACTGAGCAGGGAAGTGTGCTGCTGTTGGGTCTTTTTATTCTGCCTGAACTCTCTCCTCAGGCGTTTACTGTTATAAAACCTGCTTGGCTATAAATAAAAAATAATAAATCTCCAAGCAGGTAAGAGGATGGGAAGATTGAGAGAGTGTGTGTGGGGTCAGCGTGTTTACTCACACTCTCCTGCCTGGGATTCCGCCTGGACAGAGGGAATGGGTGGCTCTGTGGATGTGGATGAAGGTGGCTAAGCAAAGAAGAGGCTGAGAAATGTGCTAGAAACTTTAGTATTTGCCAGTTATTCCCGGGGCTGGGGTGGGCAGTGGTGGCATCAGGGCGGCAGATCTGCCAGGAGAGGAGATGGAGCGGGGAGGGAGGACAGGCACCGAGGCGAGCCCGGACCCTCAGCCTGCCTCGGCAATTGGCGTTTTAGTGCAAAACGACCAATGGTGAATTGTTTTAAATGCATTTCACTCCCTTCCCTACTCTCCAGCCTCCCGTAAAAAGTTACCCATAATTTTAAACCTGAAAATTTAGAGAACACTTTTCTTCACAGAGGACCGGTAAGCTTTTAAAAAATATGTATTAATTTTATTTTTATTTTTTTTTTTCCTTTTGGTAAACGACTTTTAAGTTCCAGTCTGTACTTTCACTTCTTGCTTTAGTCTCCCAGAAGCTAAGGTGTTACTTCACCCAGCTTCACAAAATAAAATATAGAAATGAAACCAACTGAGCAGACAAAACAGCAAAACTTTCTGTTTGGGGAAACACATCCTCTGCTGGGGAGCCCTGCCCGGGGCTGGGGCTCCAGCGGTGCCCGGCCGGGCTGGCTCTGCATGCTCAGGGCATGCAAAGCATTAACAGGTACCTGCAAACTTTCAGAGCTCAGATGTAAAACCTGAAATAAAAAAGAGCAGGAGGTGGGTGGGGGGATGTTACAGGGTTGGGGTTTTTTTTTTTTGTGGGTTTTTTTTTGGTTTTTTTTTTTTTTTTTGCAGGAGGACGAAGTCCTTTCCTAACACTAAAACTTTTGCTGCTGCGTTTTAAAAAGCACTTCCCGTACCTGGCTGACAGGTAAGGGGAGCAGGGGTGGTGGTGGCACAGCCCCGTGCACCCCGAAACTGCTCACCCCTTCCTGGAGCAGTGCTGGAGTGACTTCAGGTTTCGGTTAAAAAGATTAAAAAAAAAAAAATTAAAAAAAATTAAAATTTTCGCCCCAAGTATAAACAATCCAGAAAAATTAAAATACTCTCGAAATGAAATAAGCCCGCTGATGCGTGAGGTGGTGTGAGGAAAAAAAAAAAAAAGAGAAGAGGAAAAGAAAAAAGGAGAGAAAATGGAATTAAATTCCAAACCTACCTGCGAAGTCTTGTTTGTAGTTTTGGCCAGAAATGGTGAGAAGAAAAAGCATGAAGAAGCCGCGAAGTGGAGGAGAAAAGGTGAAGGGAGATGCAGCTCCTGGAGAAATTGTAAAAAGCCTTGCAAAGAGTTGTCGGAAGGACCGTTATTCCTGCTGGGCAGGTTAGGACTGATCTCTTTCTGCCACTCCAGGAAACACAAACCTGGGGACGGACTGACGTGTTACGCCTCTTCTAATGACATTTTTTTCTTTTTCTTTTCTGTACGAGCGAGAGGAGAGACCCTGCAACACACGCCACCTATCTTTGTGGGGAGGGATAATTGGAGAGCACCAAACGTGAGCATCATGTGGAAACGTGATCGCCAAGTTTCTCTCTGGGAAAGGATCTGGGATAGATTATACCTTGAAGTCTCCGCGAACGCTTTAGCGGCAGAAATGCAATTCCACCTCCTCCCGCCCGCCCC